GCCAAACCTCGAATTAGCGCCCACCTCGAATAAGCGCCCATCTTGAAGGCAGAAAAATTGAATAAGCGCCCAGCCTCGATTAAGCGCCCACCCCCACCCGGCCTCCCTCCCCTTCAAACTCAAACTCAAATAAGCACCCACCCCCCACCCCACCCCCTTTCTGGTCCCTCCAACCCAAAAAACATTAAATAAGTACTGCAATAAGAGACTTGCTCGGAGAGGGAGTTTTCTTCAGAGTATTTTATAGAAACCTTGCTTTGTTACATCTTCGCGTCTTATTATTACCATCTATTGTATTGTTGCAAAATTAACATACTACACTTGCTGAAAATGGTGAAAATTTAATAAGCGCCCAGCCTCGAATAAGCGCCCACCTCGAATAAGCGCCCACCCTTAAGGTCCATAAATTTAATAAGCGCCCAGGGCGGTTAATCGAATAAATACGGTAACTGGAAAATGGCGCATTCAAGAAATCCGCGAGATTTTTGTTACCCTTGTTCTCCTGTCCTATTTTTCTTAAATAAAGAACTGGTCGGCCATAAATTGATGGAAAAAGGATAAAAAGGAAAATTCAAATTTTGCTTCGTTTTGAACGTCAGGTAGTCAAAGGAGTGGCGTGTCACGCAATGTTTACTACACAATGACTATTCCATAGGCTTTAAAGCAATTTACCTAACATTTCTAAAATAAATATATGCCAATAAAAGAAAATAAATATACAAATAAAGAAACGTGTACAGAATAAAAAAAACAGATCGTTTCTGAGAACATAGAATTATTTCATAAATGGAACTGGTTGATGTAAAAGCATATTTGCATTTTTTCATTGTCTAGGGTTATTTGTGCTGTAGTAATTCAATTAACATTCTGTGAGTGTATTAAAAGAAAAACGAGGGCCTGAATATCTGCCAGACTTGATGTTCTAACATAATATAACTTAACATAACTTAACATAACATAACATAACATAACATTTTATGACATCTAAATTGTATTTCATTTAAATGCAATTGTGAAAATTCCGTTTTGTTTGCTTTGTGTGAGAAATATAAAACTGCACTTATTTATAAGCAGACCATAAACGTCTCGGTTAAAGAGACCCTCTTTATTTGAACCATGTGGTAGATTCTATTTTTCATAGCTGTGGAAACGTTTTGTATTCATTTAGGCTCTCGCCCTTGCAAAGAAGATTATCAGGTATCAAGAATAAGTCATAAAGGGTGTCAAGGGCATTTACCCAGCCCTCTTGCAAGGTTTTCCAGTGTTCCAACATTGAAGATTTACAGAGTCGTGTCATCGAATGAACTTCATGCGAACATAGCCAGGCCACTAAGCGCAGTTTAGATTTTTGCATGACGTAAAAAAGACTGTCCGCCTAATCACCTACTTGCCTTTTGAAGGCAACCTCATGTGAGGGACTTAATGTTTCAATTCAGATTGTTGAAATGTTTTCCAGAGCAAAGAAAGTTTACTAAAAACGAGCAGTATATAAGAGCTGGGACAGTAGTGGAGTAAGGGCGCAGCGACACGAGGGAAAGAGGGAGTTCCCTATCACATGCTAAAGCTTGTTCAGTCACGCTCGTTAACTTTGTGAGCCTGAATTACTCTCAACAGAAATTTGTTCTAAGTTATTCTCAGGCTATTCAAAGACATTCACAAGTCGATTTCTTGAAGTGCAAAGAAGAGACAACTTACAGGTAATATTATTATTAGGCCAAGATGGTTCATTTCTCACGGAGCCCGAAAATCACACTTAGAAAGGAAAAGACGAGGAAAAATAGCGAGAGCAAGGAAAATAATATAAGCTTAAAATGACGTATTGACCCTTCACATTTGCACTGTTCAGCTGTTCTTGAATCATAGTTTATCAGTTTCAGATATCTCCTCTTACGAAGTAAAATATTTAAATTGAGACATCTTTCAACAGCAGCGACTGTTTGGATAGGGAATCCCCCTAGTGCCTAGAGCAGCCTAAGAAGACTTCTGAGAGTTCCTGCTTAATATTCTATAATTAAAAAAAGAGATACAAAGAAATATTGTAAATGCGAAATGATTTTCCACAAATAACAAAAAAAAAGGGTTGCGAATTCCGCATTCCGGATTCCAGATTCCATACCTTCCACAAACCCTACAAAAACATGGTGGACAGAAAATAAGCTCACGTTCACCCGCTTCTCTCTCTTCTTCGTTTGGTTAAAACCATAGCCACATGGAAAACAGTGATTGAAAGTATGCAGTGTTTAGGAATGGACAATTTTCGAGTGGCATATACCCGATTTCTCGCTTTCTATTCTGACAATCCTTCTGGACTTCACGATGGCGAAACGCCGGCGAAATGGCAAAGTAAGGCACGTTTCGCCACTCACCCCTCGACCGAAACTGAATGGCCGCCAAAACGTTTAACACGATTCAGTAGCTGAAGAATTGAACTACACAATGATATGCAGGAGAGTCTGTAAGTGTGAGCCACTTTTGAGATTTAATCCACTGAATTTAGCTAAAATCGTATGTTTCGCTAAGTGGGTCAAAGGGACTAAGTGTGTTTCCTCAGATTTTCTAAACGAAAAGGTGTTGATGATTCCGACCTGTATTATTTTAAAGATAAAGGCTCAATTAAGTTAACTAGAAAACTGGAAGGTTTGGGTCGCACTCTTTTATCCGGAGCAATCGGTTGAATTTTGACAAAATTTGCATATTTCACAAGCATCTCAGGTCCTCATGTAGCGCCGAAAGAAAATTCGTTAAAAAAAATATACAGAAGCGAATTTCTCTAATCTAGTTTCATATTTGTTATATACTTATTAAAAGAAGTCTACAGAAAAATTATGAGCGAAATCCATTTTGTGCGCAAAAATCGATATGAGGAACTTACAGAGACTGGCTCTTAATATCTTTTTAAAAAAGCCTATGATTTTTAACTTTTATTTCCGAGCCTCAGAGCTTAACTGAATCATCACAGTATTGGTCAGTATTGCTTTTTTTAAATCCACTTCAACTTGACAGGAAGCGGAATGGGCGATAAAAAAAGAGATGTATTTCTGTGTGTTTTTGTGAATTCATCGATTTAGTCGACTTCTCGGTTTTATTGAGTTTGCCACTGTAACTCCATTCATAACGCTGATAAGGGGGAATTGTAAAATGAAGACTGCGGACTGACTGCAGACTATTGTTTTTAAGGGTTAGAAAACAACGGGATTATTGTTGTCATGTTCTCATTTGCATGGTGAAAACAATAGTCCACAGTCTACGTTTTACGCCGACCGATTCATAAGACGAAGTCAAGACGGCACAGAAAAGCAGCCGGCGATCCGGACCTTGTCTACTCGAAGGCGGTTTGCGGCCCGAGAACGAATCGCAGATTTTTCCGATCATAGGTAAAGTTCTATCATCTCCTCAGTAAAATTTTTATAAGCAAATATCCCCTCGCACATTGCTCAAAATGGGCATTTTCTCGCGTCATGTCCAAAATTCGGCGAACGCTTGTGTTTTGAAAGTGGACGCAGGGCTTGGGTCCGTGGTCAAATTTGTCTCGACTGAAGGTGGCTCAGTCAACAAAGAAACCCTCACGAAACGCTTTCCGTTTTTGTTGTAGCCTGGATATAACAGTTTTACCTGTTAAAGTTATAAACCCAAGTAATGCTCCAAATTTTCAGGTGAAAACGAACTAAACATCTTGAAATTAAATTTCAGTTAAGTTGTTTGAGCTACCCTTCTTCACAGAAAAAGTCTAAATAAGTATAAGTTTATGTAATTCAACTGTGGAAAACTTTCTCAGAAAGAACTATGTCAATCGAAATATAAAGCATACAATGTACGAAATTTATCGACCTTTGCCGCCACCTTAAAAATTCTGCGTTCACATTGCACCCGAATCCCAGTGCGCACAACGCCTGCCTTCTTTTGGTCACGTGGTCTGTATTCCGGTTATTTGTTTCAAGCTATCCCCTACTCGATTCCACAACACCCCATCCTCGACTCGATTTAGCCTGCGTAGCAAGCGCGAGTTCCAATCGAGTTATTGTGCGAAAGTTAGAGTGGGAGCAAAAATAAGGTGGATGGGGAGGGTGAGGGGGGAAGAGGAAACGCTTGCCCGCAAACCCCACGATTCTGGAAAACGCCCCTTGATATTTCACGGTTCGGTTTATTTGTAAATTGACAGCTCGTCAAAATAGAAGTATAACGAACAGATTACCCCTGGATTACTAGATTTGTAAAATTACTTTGTTCTCTAATAGAGCACGTTGAAGGCAATTGCGAGAACTGTAATAAAAAAGATTTACGATAAAAGAAAGTTAAAACTCTGAGCGATTGCTGCGGAATTTCTTGTTTTTTATTGTGTGGCTTTATCTCGTCTGAAACCTTGTCGAAACGTCAAAAATGATTTGTCCGGAACAATTCACTCCGCCAGCTATAAGTTTTGTAGAGCGGCTACTCCTCAGTCCGTGTCGAAACGTTCTCTACAATACATGCCGCTAAATATCCAGTAAACAGAAAGAATCTTTTCATTTCAAAAAGCTAACAAATCGCTTGTCCATGGCAGCTTTAGCTAGTGTCGAGTACCGATGTTCTGATTCGTTCTGATTTACGTTGATGTTATCTTCAACAAACAGTCCATTTTTCCAGTCAGATCCGCACGCCGTCATTCTCAATAAATTGGCCTTCCCTAGTCTCCACTGGGCGATCTCCAATTATACTTTGAAGACTCTGACCTCATAAACCTTCGCGCAAACACGATTCAAATAAATATCAGTCCAAAGCATGTGTAATCTGCGACCACGAATCAGATGAGACCAGATCTGTGACGCACGTAAACAAAGCATACCTGGTTTGATTAATTCGAGTGCTAAGTACGACTGTACTCAACACTATCCGCACCGCACCAATCAGAAGCTGCGTTCGTGGGCGAATGCAGTTTTTCAAAATCGTGGGGTTTGCGGGCAAGCGCTTCCTTCTTTCCCCTCCCCCTCCCCCCTCATTCATTTTTTTTGGCTGTTGTCTCAGCTTTCTAAACGAACCTCGCAGGCTAGACTCGATTAGTTTTGGGGAATTTATCGCTGATTTACGCCCTGTCGTTGATTTCAAGTCTCCTGAACTTCGGTATTGAAAGTACAATCTTCCGTGTTCGAAATGGCTGTTGATATAGGATGGTGGGTGATTAAATTTCGCGATGATATTCAACGTTATGTCCAACAGTTTGGTGTTTCAGATATTGATACATTCTTCAAGAAAAAGTTGGAGAGTTGGCAAGACATCAAGGTGAATATAGCGATTACTGGCTACGCTGGAACTGGAAAATCGAGTTTCGTCAACAGAATACGAGGGTTAGTATATTGAATATACTATAAATGTTACATATTCAAATTTGGTAAACGAGACATACGTATACTAGGTTCGTCTTCTAATGGTACGTGGAAGTAATTGCAGCTTGAATAATAAATCTTATCACATCGTGACACATATTCACAACTCCATAATAATGCAATCAATTAAGCTTGCTTTTACGCTCTCTCTTGTTTAAAACCAGACACTCATAGAAAAGCATTGCTCGTGAAAATATAAATTATTTAAAGCAGTTTTATTTTTAAGATCTCCATTAAAGCCCTCGTGTACTTTAATTTTTTGGCGCCCCACTTTTGCTTCACTTTAACCTTGAAGTTTGCAGGTTAAAGAGACTCGATGCAAGTCGAAGCAATAAATTTTAAGAAAATATGACCTTTTTCTACTCAAAACTGCTAAGAAAAAACCAAAACTGAACCATAAGAACCGAGTAGACGATTGTGGCTGTATTGTAGGCAACCGCGTTATTTGCATGACGCTGATACATCACAGTGTATCTGTAATGATGATGAGCGGGTTATCCGTTTTTTAACGTCGACTTCTATCCAATTTCTAGTATTATTTCTAAGGTTTGTTTAATAAAAAGTATATGTATTTTAATTTTTCTTGCGTAGCCGGCCTATCCAGTACAATTGTAGACGGGTTTCATTTTCAAACGCGACTGGCCCATACACAACGGGATTTATTTATTTGCTCTAGACAGATGGTGGATCTGATGGTGACCCAAGTCAATCTAAGGCAGTTTTTAAGACTCCTTATTTGAGAATTTACTTAGCTTAATCCTTCAATTTATTAGGAGCCCATCAATAGGCTTCTGAGAATACTCATTTTAAAACGACCATCTTCAAAGTGCTTTATGAATTCATCATTTAAATTCCTTCAGGGTCAATCCTCAATGGAATGAACGAAAAGCACGTAACTCAAAACTCTTCCGGTTTTTCCGAGAATTCTGCTGAGCCTCACATGTTTTTCATGACAGCAGGAGCCCGAAAAGTAAACATTTGCCACGTGAGTTGAATACAACTGACACGATAAAAGACAATGAGACACATCACACATGACTCAAGGCCGCTTACTCTTTTTCAAATGGAGAGTAGACTTGCGACAAGTCGACCTCTTTGCGAGCGGAGCGAGCGTTTTTTGGCCGCAACGACGAAGGACTTTTTTGGAAGTCTAAATGGAGAGCAGTTGCACGCAAGCTATTTTTGATTCGGATATTTCACTGATCGGACGGTCCTCCTTCATGCTCTCTTTCCACTAGACGTACCCACAATTTATTTTTTTAAGCTAGGAAAATTCGACGAATATAACCCTATCAAAACGGTCTTTTAGTTGATTGGAAAGTCTTCTCCTCTTCGGTAAAAAGATAACACAGTCTATTTTGGTCCCTGAACTTTCAGAAAAACAATTAAATCAAGCAGCATTAAAAACCACAGGTAACCCAGGCTCTATGATAGTACCACAGTACCGTTCCAGTAAAATTACAGTGTTTGCATGGGGTAAAAATAGGATCCCAAAAATTTCAAGGAAATACTAAATAAAGATCAATGAAACTTACTCTGCAGTTAGTTGTTGTTGTCCTTAATGCTCCAACGAAGTTTCGTGGTAATTTGTTCAAATTCACTCTATATACAAATAATATACAAGGTAGGAGACACGAGATGCCATCTTCGCCGCCATGCTCTGATTCAACACAACTTTTTTCCACGAATTCGAACTCCAACAGAAAATAAACATGCCAGGATCGTAGTAACAGGATAGCAGCAGATATAGAAATCAATGAAGCTTTCCCAGATAGAAAAACGAATCCGCAGACTTTGACAAACTCGAAGGATATAATCCAAAAAGGCCGAGAATATGCTCGCCGAAGTAGCCGGGCCAGATCAACGCGAAGCCAAGAAAATGAGGACTGTGCACTGTACAAAAAAATCCTTTTTATTTCAATTTCATTTCAAAAGTTAGGACAAGAAAGTATTTTTACCCTCCAAACACCTTCCATGGCTATTCTGGTTGTTCAAGGATCTTCACTTGGCATTGCAACCTCTTTCTCAGTAGCCTCTCACTTCAGAGAACGGCAAGACGAAGAGTCCTTGTGAACCAGGTTGTTGGAAAGTGGTAGCTGTGGAGGGGACAACAGAATTGTACGTGTTTCGAGTTTGTCATGACTGCTAAACAAGAGAACTGAAGACCCAATGAGTTATACTCCATCTGAAGTACAATGTATTCACCATGGAAGAGAAGAAGACATATTTACAACTCTTTTTATTGTTTGTTTGTTTGTTTGTTTTGTCAGTTAAATTTACACCAATAGGCAATTTTTCCTGCCGACATTGGTGAATATTTTCACTTCAGGTCGATTCTTACGCTGTATCATGCGCCATTACTGTTTGCATTTAGCGATAATTTTAGTACGCAAATCACGCACACTTAAAGTACTTAGTACAGTCCATCCTGTCTTACGCAGCCACCTTTAAGGAATGACTATATAACTGACTGTAAACGTTGAAATGAACTGCAGAAATCGCTCGTTTTTACTTTTTGTGAGACTTTCTTTTTTGTTTTCGCAATAGTCAAGTGTACGATTAAAAGGAGTGAATGGCAACTTTAAGGTTCTTTCCTCAAGAAACTTCCTCAAGAAGCATCTCCTCCTTAAGTATACGGGAGTTGAATTTGATGCGCCACCCTGCGCCGAGCATGAGTACATTCCGTGTTAATTTTGATAGCTCTTGAAATTAATGTTAATCACAGAAATCGTTACATTTTCAATAATTTCTTTCTCAGACTTAAAGACTGCGACCCAGGAGCAGCCAAAGTTGGCTTCTGCACTGATTACACATCTCAGCCGAAACCATATCCTCATCCAGATAATCCAAACATTATATTTTGGGATTTACCAGGAATAGGGACCGATGAATTCCCCGCAAAGACGTACTGTCAGAGAGTAGATTTGAAAAAGTATGACTCATTTCTGATCTTCACGGCGAACAGATTCCGCAGGGAGGATTCAATTCTGGCCGAGGCCGTTTCATCGATCGGTAAGAAGTTCTTCTTCGTCCGCTCGAAAATAGATCAAGACGTTGAAAACGAGACTGACATATTAAGTACTCCTGAATCATTCAATGAAACGAATTTCCTCGAAAAAGTGCGAGTTGAGTGTTTGAATAAACTGGGTGACCGACTGAGCAATAAGCAGCATATTTTCCTGATAAGCAACAAGTACCCCCAAAAATGGGACTTCAAAGATCTGGGACAAGTCATTCTGGATATTTTGCCAACAGATTTGAGCGAGTGTTTGACCTTGTCCCTTGGCGTTCTAAAGAGCTTGTCAACTGAAACGTTAGAGAGAAAAGTCGCAGTCCTCAAAAGACGAATATGGCTGGTTGCAGGGGCTTCTGCCGCGGTCGCTTTGGTTCCGATTCCTGGTGTTTCTACAGTGGCTGATCTCGGTCTGATTGTCACAGAAATGGAATTTTACAGATCCCAGCTTGGTCTGCCTAAAGATAGACCAGATAAATTTGAGATGCTGACCGAGCCCACTCAAGTCAAAGCCAAAATGTACCTGAAATCTCTGGAATTAGCTGTAAAAGGTACCGGATGGTTGGCAGCCTATGGCAGAGAAGCAGCTGCTAAGGAACTGGTTCGTTTTCTTCCATTCGCTTTAGCAACAGCTAGTGCAATGTCATGTGGTACTACGTACTATGCACTTTTGCATTGTTTGAAAACAATGGCAGACGTGGCATTTGCCGTCCTTTGCGAAGCCACCGAAAAAACGGCCGAAGATTTGCCAGATATAGATTAATTTAACATTCAATGTCTTTTTTATCTCTGTAAAGTACGTACTTACAACCGCATTTGCTGAAGGTAACTCTCCGCTTGAATCAAGTTCTCGAATATTACAACAGTAGCCAGAATGGGTGATTTTTTACGCTAGTAAATACAGGCGTAGCCCCATGTAAGGGGATCCAGGATAGTCTCACGCTTAGATTCCGGATTCCACGCCGTGAATTCCGCATTCCAATTGCTGGATTATGGATTCTTTGTCAGTGGAACTTTGCCTATTTCGGATTTCAATCATTAGAGGAACCCGAATTCCTTGAGCTGTATTCCGGATTCCCCGAGAACAATTTCCCCGATTCCGCAATCCGGATTCACTTACATAAGGCGACGGTAAAATACCAGGAAAAAAAACAACAACAGTAAAAAAAAAAAAACAAACCAAGAAAAAACAACAATTAAACTACCCAGTATCTTGTTGTGCCATGAACTAACTATTCAACGTTAAAACAGAGGAAGAATGAAAATCGAGTAAATTGTGGTCCTCTCAAGACGCGCGTTAGCCATCGTACTATCGTGTTCTGTCATTGCTTTTAGTATTAAGCGGTCACTCTCGAGAAATAGCCAGCATTGAAAGTAAATTCTGAACATCGTAAAGAACAAGTTTGGCCATGTCTAAAAAACTTATGCATTTTTTTAGTACTGGTAGTAGCAGCAGTAGACTTGATCTAAGTATCTAGTGGGTATTTTAAATTAGTATTATGAATAGTTAAAAGTTTAAATATTTTAGCGGGAAATTGGAACGTTTTCCTATATATTTAAAGGACTAGCGTAGAAATAATGATTGAAAGGAACTTTAAATGACAACTTTTTTGAAACTTATCTTGTGATAATTAGAGGTCTGTCTATTGTACTTTAGTAAGTGACAATGCGGAGATTTTGAAGAACATAATAACGGTGATAAACCTTCAAGGGTAATAGAAGTTGGTTCGAAAAATCGAAGGTGGAATTGAATCACAACTGTTCTACTATAGTATCAGTTGTGTTATAAAAACCGTGAAGGCCTGAGAAATCAACAGTATATCAGTCTCGCTTGTCAATGTATGTACCCTGTGTATTTACAAACAAAACGAACAATTGTACCGTAAAGTAATAGATTGAAGCCAACTTAGAGAAAGAAAAATAGTTACCTTGCGCAGGACCTAACACTGCATTTAACCTGCTAATAAGCTCTTTCTTTGAAATAAAAAGTGATAACGGCTAATAATCTCTTGCTTCTTTTCAACCCAGAAACTTCGGCTATAAGATGCCTGAAATGATTCTCGATTGTGTCGTACAACGTCGCCATGTTCCCTTGTGAAAGAAAAGTGGGAAGCTCAACAACAACACCAGTGTGGACGAAGCTCACTTCCATGAATACCACTTTACACGGAACATCTCTAATGAACCTTTCGCTGGTCATTGCTGTGAAAAAACATTAGGGAAATTAAGATAGAGACGTTTTCGGGGCGACGGCGACCGGACTGGCAGAGCAATCCTGGAACAGAGGTAGCCGTCGGTTCCCTCCAAAATTGGAACATTAAGATCGCAGTGAACTCAGGTGGACGGCGCCTTGGAAGACTACCGAAGAGGAAAATATGGCTTCACATAAAGAACTAAGAGAATTAATGCTTAATTGCTTGCATGCAACAACAACAACAATAACTTTATTTCAGTATTCCCACGTTAGTACGTGGTATTACCACTAACGAAAAAAGTGAGCTAAAAACACACAATTAAAATATCGGCGTTCATATTTTTTGTCGGGATACTTTTATTTGGCTCATAGGTCAATTTTGTCCATGTAAAGCTCACTTAAAGTTTGCTGTTTGCCATATTGGATCAGATTGGATCTTGACTCTGTGACATGAAACATAGAAACATTATAAAGATGTAAGTTTAGATAACAGAGCTTGGAAATCGAGCTTGAAATGTGACTCAAAGAAAACAAGGACAATTTAAGGACGATAATCTGCAAAATCCTGGTTGCTAAATGCAACAATCCTGATTGAAATGAGAGTTAAATACTCACGTTCTCGCCACAACGCCAAACAGACCAGTTTCACGTCGCCGACGGGAGCACGACGGCGATGTGGTGAGCAAGAGCATGCGCAATAGTGCACAAATCATGACAAATCATGACGTCACGTCCGGTTGAAGTTGCCGTCGCCCCGAAAACAGGGCGCTTAAGCAACAACGACGACGACGGCTACAAAAACGTCACTTAAAAATTGAATTCGCGCCCCTTCAAACTTTATCGCGCTTATTCCATCTCGTTTACTTCGTCAAATGTTGGCAACTGTTTTTGGAGTTGAATTCTAAAGGACTGTATCAAAGTTCAGGAAAAGAAAAGAAAGTTGTTGTCTTGTGTTCCGTCCTCGACAAGACGTGAATTCAGGCACTTTCACGTTGTAGTCGGGCAACGACGGCCAAGAAATGTACAAAAAAGCGTGATGCACGTGCAAAGTTGTTGTTTTGCTAATCAAACCTATTGCTTTTTTTGCCGTTCTCGTTGCCGTCCGCGTCGTCGTTGTTTAAGCTCCCCAACGTCTCCATCTTAAGTTCCCTATTCATTTCACTGCAGTAACGACATTCATTTTCGTTCTTTACAAAGTCATTAACCTGGCAGTTTTGCATATCCATATTGTTACTTGTGGCGACGAATTACGACGGCAGAATTATTTTCTACAAAAAGGAGACCACCAGATTCAAAATGAGAGCGGAAATCGTGGGAAGAGAACTTTGCGATGGGTCTCACTTTCCAGACCGCGGGTTTTCTTCTGTCGGCTGTGTCTGAAAGATCTGTTGTTTACCGTCCTGAATCCAGCTTATGTCCCTGAAATCTACCCTTGAATTCGTCTTACACCGAGGCAACTCTAATTTCTCCCACGGAAAGACTGGAGACTGGTTTAGTTCTGTTCCGTACATCGGCCGTTGCAGCTTTAGCCTTTACACTGCTTTTGTTTGAATAGGTCAGCACACAGCACCACACACAAACATACAACCTCTTCGGCTTTATCTTTAACAATTGTGGTTCGCCACTTACTTGTGGATTCTGTATGTGAACTTAAACGTTTGTTTTCCATCCAATCTGACGGCCAGTAAAGAAAAAAATTAGAAAAGGAAAGAAAGAAAGAAAGGAAAAGAAGTCTACGGGAAAGGGAATTTGTAGCCGGTCACCTATCCATTGACCTCGCCCGTCATGGCTTAACTACAATTCGGGACATTAGAACTTGGTTCAATCGAAGGAATAGCGTTGACATGTTGTGCTCGACCTCCTCTTCCCTTTCCCCTCAATGTTGGCCTCGAACTTGAACAATTCCACCAAAAAAACCATTTCAAAACAACATTGGAAGAGAGAAAGACATGTATCAGAGCAGTGTGACCCAAGTACTGTGTCAGAGATTGTTGCTGCAAATTACTGACATAAATCCCTCCGTATGTAAGCCCCTTCGAATATAAGCCCCCAAAGAGCCTTTGAAAAAAAAAGTCCCGGGGCTTATTCTCGGAATGTTACGGTATTTTTCCCCTCCATGAGCTGTTTCAACAAGGTGATAACCAAGTCCTTTTATCAACAGTTACACAACAATGAAAGTTGCTCTAGAGTCGTTACAGAAGCTTCAAACCTGGCTAGTTTAGCTCCTAATATTTCAGATAATCGATTTAATTTGCAACTAAAGCGGAAAGTCAGTTTAAATGTAAAAAATAAAAAAATATATCATAAATTCTAAAAAAAGCAAAATGTACTAGTAACTATAGGAAGCAAACCTACATTGCTTTTTTCTTTAAAAGCACATAACATACTACCATTTTTTTAAATGCTTTGCCATTTAAAATTTTTTTTTTTACCATTCTTATGAGACTTACTCTTAGTTGAGTTCAAAAGAGTGGCTCCTTGTAAGTGCTTATCAGCACGAGTTTTTTAATTTTCGGGTGAAAATTTACAGGATACCTAATTTTAATATGCTCTCTCAGTTTCTGCTAACAATTTTCTTTCAAAAGCGAACTGCCTTCGTGTTTACAGAAAGTTAATCACGTGATCAACTAATCCAAAAGGTCTATTATTCACCAACCTGTTCTCTTCCACCTCATACAGGGTGTTTCAAAAGTTCGTTCCGATTGTGAATTGTATTTTGAGCAAAGCATTTAATTTATCTTCAGGCAAATGTAAACCGATTCAGGTAAGAAATTTATCTAAATAACCGTTCAAAGCAATTTCAAACTAAAATTTGAAGAAATTATAATTTTTTTAAATTTTTTGCCCCACTATAAGACGCAGACCTCCCTAATACGTAATACTTTTCCTGCCCATTTTGTAGGTTTTCTATTTTGGTATTTTTATCGTTTTCTTTTATTTTCTCTACACCTTCATGAAAATGAAGGCCTCCGCAGGGGTTCACGCTTTCGTGCGTCTTGTTTAAAAACTTAAATTTCTCCCCTCTGCATTAGAAAGCTATCTGTTCAAGTCTTCAACCCTCGATATCACTAAGGTTCGTCTTTTATTAAAAGATCAAGTGACTCATGCGATAAATTTGTCGAAATACCATTCGAAGGCATCGCATAAGTGGCATGTAATCTCAGCAAAATTGGGGTTGACCAACTGATCGCTGATGTCTTTGTCAAGTTCACTGATTGTTAACTAATCGTCGGTTGTCACTCCAAGAATTGTGAGGTCTATCCGAGGAATTCACCAGTTGATTTCAATTTGCAGTGATAATTTATCTTAAGATTCCTTTATTAGACGTCTTGACTTCCTCTCCTTCCAAGAAACCCCATGTACGTCAAAAAAGAAGATTTTTGTGATTGGACTTTTAAGTGTTGAACAATAAAAATGCAAGCAATGTAAATTTTAGCCTTGATCTCGTTTACTCTTACCCATTTTGATTTATGCTTAAAATTAGGAGGATTTCTTAAGTGGTTACAGTATGATTAGTTAACTAAGGGATATTTTATTGGGATGTAATGTCAGGTATATATCACGAATATTCACCTATTATTAGTTGTTTAGAATATACCTTTACAAGTTTGATTTATAAAATATTCATGAACATAAACCTTCTACTTTCATGAATTCGTTCTTAATCAAATACGTTCTGTTTTGGTACACTTTCGCGACTTCCACGACAACCCTTTTATCGTAAAAGAATGTTCAATTAAGTTTCCCAACAGAGGCTTGTTTACGTTTAAAAATAACGCATGGTTTGATATTTCAACCTTCACTTGATTCTTCATCAAGATTTCCAGAAAATGACCTCTATTGTTTTTCCTTATTTTATTAGGTTTTAGCTTGTTTCCCGTGTTCTCGATCGAATTCATTTAGTTAATGGTTTTTATTTGTAACTTAAAATATTTTAATGACAATTAATGGTATGGAATATCTCTCAATTCACAGGTGTTGGTTAAAGTAAACATCTATTGTTGTAATTTCTGCTCTCTACCGCGAACT